CCCACAGCCGCGGGGGCGGGGCGGGGTCTGATCCGCGCATGCGCGGAGGGGCGCCGCCACTCGAGACTACGTATCCCAGCGTGCCGCACGCACGTGGGAGAGAAGGGGGGAGTCCTACTTGTCCTTAAAGGGACAGGCGCGCGTGCTTTTGCATGTGGCGACACCCCCTCCCAAGCAATTGTGCGTGCGGAGGAGGAGGAGGGGTGGGGGCTGAAATCAAACAAGCAAACGTGCCGATGGGAAGCGAGAGAACGGCCCTGCCGCCGCGCGGAACTCAAGCGCCAGGCCCGTGCTCCCAGCCGGGACCGGGGAGGGGCAGGCGCACGTTTCCTGCCAGAAGCTTCCCCGAGAGCACCGGAAGCGGTTGTTGCTGCTGCGCGCCCACGTGGGCGGGTGGGAGTGCGGACCCGGCGCGGACTAGCGACGTGGTGCGTCGGATCGCACCGCAGCTCTGCCCCCGGCTCCTGCCTTGGCCTGTGCCCGCCCGTGATGGCCCCCAGCCCAGGACTCCCCTCGCGGTCACTGCCCCCCGGAGCGCTGCACCACGCGGACTTGCAAGAATGGTGCTTTGTAGTCAGTCAATCGTAGACGGGTAGTATAGCTACGTCAATGTATTTACAGTGGAAATAGCAATCGTACTGATTTGGAAGGACTTGTTTGAGGTGACTGTGCTGGACTTTTTGAAGGGCTCTTGGCTGGAGTCTCGGCTGCAGGTTTTTCTGGAGTCTCATCTGCTTTCTGAAAAAAAGTGTCCAAGGACGTGTGGGCAGATGTTCTCCGGGGAGATGGGCGTTGCAGCAAACTTGTTCGCTGGCACGGCATCTAGTCGCATCGAGCGCCATAAAGTCGATACTGACGTCAGGAAGTCAAAACGGTGTCAACTCATAAACATCGTAAGTGCCGTTCGTTGTAACTCGAAACGTCTTGAGCACTGCCTCTAGAAGTGCTTTTAGTCCACGCGTTAGTGCTCTTAGTCCATACAAATGACCCCAAAGCAGAAGATGGAAATGGTGAAGAGATCTAACTGCACGTGAGGTGTAGCACAGGCAGGCAGATGTGGGAACATGGATAGAAAGGAGGTGGCACAGTCCTGATCTGTTCTTCTTGGATTGTATTTCTCAACTAGCTCCTCTGAGTCTTTTGGACGCGGCAGGATGCAGGTCTGAAAAATAACGATCTGCTTAACTATCTGTAGATGAAATGGTTTCTCTGACTGTTCCAACAGAAAACTAAAACTGATGCAGTAACTTTGGCATGTCTCATAGCAGAGCTTGGTTACCCTGCTGAGTACAAGCTACTGCCTGACTGGACTCTCATGATTTTGGGTTTTTTTTCCTTCTTTTATTCCTTTAGGCTGTGTGGCCGAGCTGTGTGGCCACCCAGCACGTCCACAGGTGGTGGGTAGTGGAATGACCTTCAGGGAAGGTTAGCTGTGAAATAAGCAATCGCAGACTTCACCAGGATGTGAGGAGAGCAGATGGCAATGCTTTCTCTCCTGAAAAGCCACACGCATCCTTTGACAGTACTACTGTGACATGGTGAGTAGAGGTCGCCACTGTAATAAGCCTGCCCAGCCCCCAGCCATGGGTCTGCAAGTCCTCAATGCTGAAGCAGGCGGAAGATGTTATAACTCAATGGCTGCAAAGGCAGACGAAGGCTGTAGCACAGTGGTTCCCAACCTTTTTTTTCCCCACGCCCTGCTGCTGGGAGTGGAGCGCGGGGGTGAGGGAGCTCCTGACATGCAGTGCAGCGCCGCTGGCATTGCCCCCACAACCCTCATTTGGGTTGCAACCCAGGGTTGGAAACCAGTGCTGTAGCGGAACAAGATCCCCAGTTGTCTTGGCCTCTTTGCCATTGCGTCAAAGTCCTATTCTGTTAAGAGCTGTATGGAAGCTGACACACAGCAGTTTCTCCCCAATAAAAAGATGTCTTCCATTTCCTTAAGGCCTGCTCATAAGGCAGATGTTTCCCCTTACAGTGCTGTTACTTCTCTGTGCCTTTCAAATTAAGTCTCTAAAGTACTTTGTCCAGAAATAATAAATAGAATGGAAAGGGACTTCTGTATTAAACACTATTGGCTTCTGTTTTATAGCAAACAGGTTTCATTTTCATCATTTAATTTTTCCAAGTGACTTTTCCTGCATTTGTACAGTGTATAAGAGTGCAAAGCATTTTTCTCCCTAAATGCTTGTCTGGTATCTGTCATTAGTCTGTTCCTCCATTTGAATCCCAGCTCAACTGTGTGGCTTCACCGTAGGCCTACTGCTACATCCATCACTAGCAACTGACTCCTGTTAACATTAGAATGTGTAAACCTGTGTTAGTTGCAACTGTACTGGTTAGTGGGATTGCATGGCTGTAACTACCAATGGATTTAGATATAAAGGATGAACCATGTCAGCTGGCACCTCAAAATTCCTCTTTATTGTAATGACATAGCCATGAAATTGTGACCTATAGACAAGACATTAAGATTAAATGTGTGACTTACTCCTTTCAATAGATATAAAGACAGGCCAGCGAGGTGGTGCTTAAGTGAAGGGAATAATAAAAAAAACCCAAAACTGTTTAATAGGGTATTTGACTCTTGTAAAAAGTTTTTAGAACATGGCTTAAATTCTAGACTGGGTACATCCAATTGGCTCTCCTAGCAAACACATGCTAGTTAGACGCTCCTAATAATTTCTGTCTTTGCAGCTCCAGAAGTTGCCTCTTCACAGACTGCTGCAACACCGAAAGAATAAGATCACTTGCTCTTCTCTCAGTCTCTACCTGCAGGGAACCTTGTCCCTTCCTTCAAAATGCCAACTCTTCATCCAGGCACTAGCATGCAAAACCATGGATTGGGGCTTCCACATCTCCCCTCACTACTTGAAGAAACCAGAACCCCAGAAAGTGGGTCTACTGTGATCCACTATGAAGACCACTAAAGAACTCTCCAAAGCCAGCCATTTACCTCAGACTTGTGGGGCTGATTCCATTTGTTTCAGTGCCAGAGGTAAAGGTCATCCAAAAGACTTACTACCCTGAGCTGGCATTTACTCAGGTTTCTTGTGAAGCCTGTATAATCTTTTTTCTAGATAGAAACCTAGTGGGGATTTGCTGTCCCAGAACGCAGCCCTACAAGTCCAGATTAGAGGAATTTGGCCATACGTACAGTTCCTCCTTTTAATAACCTGGTTTGCTTTACTCTTCAGAAATGACTTCAGTCAAGCTACAGTCATGTTGATAATTGGTTTAGGTTTAGTGAAACATTATGACCTTGCCCCTCCTTCCTACTTATCCCCATTGATTTAAAGCCCAAAGGGGAATTTTAACAGTGCTGGCTGTACTTTGCTGGCTGTACTTTGGCAGTGCTGGCTGGCATGGCATGGCATAGATGACCAATCTTCCAGAGAAGCAATTAAGTAACAGAGAAAAATAAGAGCAAATGAAAACATAACAACAACTCAACAGAAGAGACTTGTTATAGTTACATAGTTTCTAGGGTCGGAAGGGACCTGAGCAGATCATCTAGTCCGACCCCCTGCCATGGCAGGAAGAGCACTGGGGTCAAATGTGCCCAGTAAGGTGGTCATCCAACCTCCTCTTAAAAACCCCCAGGGTGGGAGCCTGCACCACCTCACTTGGAAGCTGGTTCCAGACTGTAGCCGCCCTGACCATGAAGTAGCGCCTCCTGATGTCCAACTTAAACCTTCCCTCCGCCAGCTT